CCATGGAGGTACAGTATAAACTAAGTAGAGGAATGACATACATATTATAGTACTTAAACTACCTAAATATAACTCATAGACAACCACAAAATTCACTTTTGTTATTAGTATCAAATGAAATAACTTTACAAGTTATAAACAGTAGTTTAGAAAGCATGTGGATCAATTGTGTGTTTGAACATGGACCTATTACAGTAGGTCCATGGTTTGAAACACAAAGCTCATGTATGGGAAAATGGAGAGGCTTTAAGACTTTACTTAGCAATAAATGTTTTGCTAATAGAGTTTGTTAATCAAATATTGTTTTTAAAATAAACTGAATAATTAGGAATACATTTATTTAGCAACTTATTTAATTGCATACTTGGTTGCATACTAAATTTAAGTGCCTCGAACTATACTAAATAATGTAAACTCAGATTCTATATTATATACATAATTATGTAAATGGCAATTATGCTAAGAATTAAAATGGCGTTAATTGTGAGGGTAAGGTAATTATGGTAGGATTAAATGGTATTGCTAAATCCCAAAAAAACCTCCCAAAACACACTGTAGAAAACCAAACAATTCAATTGTGACTGACTCACTTGGTATATATAAATATTCATAAGAACCTATTTTTTGGTTAAAATGTTGATTTTTTTTTGTGAAAAAATACTTGCAAATACACCACAAACCTCCAAACACACTGCGAACCTCATCCAAACCCTTTAATTATGATTGTAGAACTCTCTTTTTCTAAAAAAAAAAAATAATAATTTGATGTTCATATAAACTCATTGTTTGTGGGGGTTTACCAATACCCGGATTGAATTTCTGGAAAATTGTGATTCTGCTTCCTTGGAATTGGCCACAAATAAATTATTTCAGTATTAATAAATGCATGATTTATGTTGATTTATTGATTATGTTGTTGCTATTTTAAATGGAAAAGAAAAATGAAAAGTGTTATTCATGGCTTTTTTTTATCTTTGAATATTTTATCATTGAATATGTAATTTATGCAAAAATTAAACGCCGTGGCTAGAGATACAGTACCGTATCAGAACTTCTGATTGCTAAAGGGACGGTAAATGATATTACGACATGATTAGCCAATAGAAATGACCGACGCGATTTTGGCTTTTTTGCAAAGTCGACGTCGCGATCATGAGAAATGTATGGCGCGAACAGTACAATCAAATTTATGTCATAAAACTTTAGGCCCATTTCATGTATTTCGATTGGGGCTTATCGCAGTGTTTGAGATAAAAATCCTTACTGTTATTCTTGTGTATTTTATGGTCTACCAATGTTCTACTAAGGCTTGGCCTAGGGCCTAGCCCGGGCCGAATACCCGGGGCCTATTATAGGCGTACTACTAGGCTAGGCTTAGGCCTACTGTAGTGCTACTACAAAGTGTAGAGTCGTTGCGGCCCTGAGTCCATTCGGCTCCGGGGGGTCGTTTCGGCCCTGAGTTGGTATTTTTGTCATGCATTTCGGCAGCGGTGCATGGAGCGCCGAAGGTGCGGCCGCGAATAATAATTTAATCGAACAAGGTGGCTAAACCGTTTGTTAAACATGAAACTAGGCTATATTACTGCAAAATTATCAGATATTATTTTTAGTAGTATTTTATTATTGTTATTATTATTATTAAAGAGTTCATTGCAGTATCAAATGATGTTCTTTCTTTTTACAGAAACAACGCAAATGTTGCAAGTCGATTGGTTTGGAGACACGTTTCTTTTTATCGTTTCCATACGATATATATTTGGATCATGTTTATAAATGCTTCAATAAAATTTAGATTTATAAAATATAAAGTAGGCTTATAGTTAATTTAGCGGATTAGTTTGTCATAAGTTTTTTTTTTTTTTTTTGCGTCTCCTTTTACATTAATACCAAATGTTCTATTTATAACAATACATAGGCCAATATAAAATAAATTAAAATATACTGAATGATGTGATAATGAAAATAAAGCAAATATATTATTGTATTCATAAGGCTGACAAAATCACTCATTGCATAGAAATTAACTAAAGAAATTATTTAACTACTGTACATTATAATTTGAGGAAAGAAACGTTTTCAACAATTATGTTGAGGTGAAGCAGACACATGGTTTGTATATTCTTGTTTGTTGTATTTACATTGTCGATACATATTTTGATTAGGCATGTTTATAGAATACACAAATAAATGGAAATAGTAAAATGTATAGTTAAAATTTACAGGCCCCTACAATGTTAATGGCTGTTTCAGGCTTCTTTTGATATAGGTAGGCCGGAAATTTTACTCACAAGGCCTACGGTAATGTTGCATGGAAATTAACTATAAAAATCGGAAAGAACGCCCACAAACAGGTTCCCAGTACTCTTTAGGGTGAAGCAGACATCCTTTGTACGCCGTCTTCAGGAACTTGAGGGCGCACTACTGCAAAGAGTGAAGTATAGGTCAGAGACTGGCTATTTTTTAGTGCACACATGCCGTGTACGCGTGTGTTCACCTCTCGTCTATGGTTCCGATTTAAAAAAAGATGGGGCCGATCGAAAAATCACATCGCATTAAGGGGATGAAATATTTGTTTTCTAGACATCGGTGCAACCTCTGAGGCATTTTGGGCGATCAATTTTTCCCCTTTTTTAACTTCCTATTAAATTAAATTCATAACCAGGTTTCAACTAGGGTGAGGGCCTAAGATAGGCAGTAACAACAAGGAAAGGTCGGACCTAGGCCTAGAAATGTTCAGGCAGGCCTATCCTACCTAGGCATAGCTAGCTAGGCATAATAGGCCGCCCTACTACTCTCTAGCTAGCCCTCCGGCTTCGCTAGGTTTCAGCTAAGGCAGGGGTACCTAAGGCCTAGGCATGGCTTCTACTATTAAAATACTTTATTCTCGCTTGATGTCGCCAAATCTAGCAAAACTGCTATCATTTTTAATTGCTATAGGGCCTCGGGCCAACAACACCCGCGAACAAACAAAATTTCTTATC